TGCGTTGTCCTGTTTGCATGTGGTCTAGTTTAAGTTCCTGCACAAAATTGAGAAGACAAAAAAAAAATTCAAAAAAGTAAATCCAAACTCTTTTCAAAGTTAATGAGTGTTTATGGTGTTTATTATTTTTTTTGGATCAATGTTTATGGTGTTTACTCAAATATTAATAACCAAACAAGTTAAGAACCTATAGAGTTGGGTGTTGTTTGATAAACATGGAAATTAAATATTGAAAATTAAATGGTGAATGTTTTAATAAAAAAAAATTGTGTGTCAATAAAAATAAGGAAATAGAAAGTTAAGACAAAGAGACATCCGTTCAATCCAACACTAACAGACTTCACAATAAAATGTTCGTCTTCACCTTTGCATCCACCTCCACCAAGCAACAAGATGTGTGTACGTGTGCGCACACGCACAAGCACACACACTTTTTCAGATCACGTGAATTTTTATGTCTAACTTTCATCATTTTATATGGTCTAAAATTAATTGTTGGAGTTAATTGCAAAATATTCAAACTTAAAAGAGCAAATTTGTTGAAATTAAAATTTTAAGGAGTTAATAGCAAACTACTCAAAATTGAAGGGATTATTTTGTAACTAAACAACATCCTTCATCTACGGTGTTTGCGATTTCTTGGGGTAACATGATTCCTCTCGGTATTTTTTCAGCAAACAGTGTTTAAGAAGAAAAACCAAACAAAATGCTTGAAGAAAATCCAAGTCAAGGTAACCGGTCAATAGTTATAAAACATGATTACACAATGCTTTTGGATGGTGAGTATTTCAACCTTATTAATAGGTTATGAATCTAAGTCTTTCAGTAACAAAGACTTCAATAATACATCCAAAATTCTTCTTAATTACGAGTTCCATTATTAAGAGCATTTTAATCATATAACTAGGGCAAGGTGCAGGTCAACCTAAAATATGAAACTTTCAATCTGAACTCAACCTTGTTCTCTACCGAGCAACTCCAATTTGAACCAACCCATGATGAACTTTTTCAACTCGAGTCGAGATTGAGTTACACAATTTGATTTGAAATTGAGTTTTTCATTAATCAAAATTAAATTGAGTCAAAAAATAAGATTCAATTCTATGTTCAATATCGAAATTAATCCTAAATTCTATAACTCCCATTAATCAAAGGTAATCAGAAAATAGAAAAAAATAAATTTCACATTTACAATAGGCTTAAATATTTTATATGTGTGTATGTGTGATTTTTTGTTTTGGAATTTCAAGTTGCAATCGGGTTGAATTTCTAAATTTGAATTGGGTTCGGGTCAAACCCATCAATTCAAAATCTCAACCCGAGTATTTCCCAAATTTGATTCATGTTAGAGAATTTTTGCCCAACACCAATCCAAGTATTGAAAATTTTGAGCTGATCCCGGATTAAACTCTGGTTAGCGCACCCAAGTTTCACCGTGGGAGATAAAACTAAAATAATTTGTAGAAAAAAAATGGAGAGAGTAATGCAAGTCGAGATCAACCTTATCCCACGTGGAGAAAAAGCATACCTCCAAAAGTCCAGTTTTTTGATCGGCTACTGAGTAATCATGCAAGCCTTCTGGCCTTTTTAAAAGCATGAGGAAATTCTTCCATTTTTTGTTAAGCACTTGCTCTGTGTTCAATCTAGCACACCATTATGGGCACTTCTATTCCACCTTTGGTGCTTCTTATGTTTTTGCTCATTGTCGTGGGCAATTCAAACTCAAACATCATTTGCCATGAGAAATCAGAAATAGTCTCAGAGATCCAGAAGACAAGCTTTCATCTTGGTCTGTCCAAGAAAATTGTTGTCAATGGACAGGAGTCCGCTGAGGTAATGTTACAGGTCGAGTCATTGAGCTCGACCTCCGTGATATGCAGCTGCAGGACGAGATTAATTATTCTTTGCTAGAATTACAAGTTCTGAGTCACTTGGACCTGACCTTTAACTCCTTCGGAGATTACCATCATATTCCAAGTTTTTTTGTGTTCCATGAAAAGTCTAACATATTTGGGGCTGGCTTACAATGAATTTGTTGGGTTGGTTCCTCATCAACTAGGAAATCTCTCAAGGCTACTTTATCTTGATTTAGGATACAATAATGAACTATTCGTGGATGATCTAAGTTGGATTTCTGGCCTTCATTCTTTGAAGTATCTTGACATGAGTGGAGTCAATCTTAGCAAGACAATCAATTGGCTTCAAGAAATGAATAAGCTTCCTTCTCTTTCATATCTGTACTTGTCCTCTTGTGGACTTGAAAGTATGTACCCATCCCTCAGTTATATCAATTTCACATCTCTTACTTGCCTTGGTCTTTCCGAGAACCTTTTCAAGCATGAAGTACCTAATTGGTTGGGCAATCTCAGTACTAACCTCAGAGATCTCCAGCCACCAAAAAATGCTTTACAAGGTCAAATACCAGTTGCCTTGTCGAATATTCACAACTTGAGGTATCTAGATCTGAATAACAATCAACTTACTGGGCAAATCACAGAGTCACTGGGGCAACTTCAACACCTACAAGAACTTGTGCTTTCAAGTAACTCGTTTTATGGTCCTATTCCTGCATCTCTCGGTAACCTATCGTCTCTGACTGTGTTATTTCTTCCTTTTAATAAATTGAGCGGCAGTCTTCCAAATAATTGGGGCTTCTCTCAAATTTAGAGCAGTTATTCATTGAACAAAATTCAACAGTTGTCTTTGTTTCAGAAGTGCATTTTGCTAAGCTCTCAAAGTTAAAGAAGTTAGTTATCTCTCAGAACCCTCTTTCCTTCAATGTAGGCCCCAATTGTATTACTCCTTTTCAACTCATATTTATTGATATGAGTATTTGTAAGGTGGGTCCAAAATTCCCAGTATGGCAACAAACACAAAAAATTGTTAACGAGTTTATCATGTCAAACTCATAAATTTCTGTGGTAGCTTCTAATTGGTTATGGAATTGGATTTCACATGTTGAAGTGGTTGACCTCTGTGGAAACCAGATTCATGGTGAGATATCTACACTTTCACTAAATTCTAGTTCATCGATTTAAGTTCTAATCGCTTCAATAATCAACTACCACATCTGTCAATAAATGTTAAAATGTTGGTTATTGCAAATAACACTTTTTACGGCAACGTTTCATCTTTCCTATGCAGTAAGGCGAATAGCAAAAATAACTTGATGGTCCTAGATGTATCAAATAACCTTTTATCCGGTAACCTTTCTTCTTGTTGGGTTTACTAGCAATCTTTGGTCCATGTAAACTTGGGAGACAATATCCTATCAAATGAAATTCCAAGCTCAATGGGTTCTTTATCTGAGCTCAAATCATTGCGCTTACAAGCAAATAGTTTCTTTAGACATGTACCCTTGTCATTGTTTAATTGCATATCTTTGGAGCTGATTGATTTTGGTGAAAACCAGTTTATAGGAGCCATACCAAGTTGGATGGGTAAAATGACAAATTCATTAGTTCTCTGTTTGAGATCTAATAAATTTAATGGTAATATTCCGACACAAATTTGTCAACTTTCTACTATCCTAATACTAGACCTTGTGGATAATAATATATCAGGTTTGGTACCAAAATGTTTGAATAATTTCACATTGATGGCTACGGTAGACATTCGACAAAATGTTTTTTATGAGGCCTTTGAATATTCCTACAACTATGGATCATACATAGAAAATGTTATGTTGGTTACAAAAGGGAGGCAATTAGGGTATGAGTGCAATCTTAAACTTGTGAGGAGCATAGATCTTTCAAGCAATAACTTATTTGGATCCATTCCTGTTGAGCTATTTGGTCTTTTTGGATTGCGTTTTTTAAATGTGTCTCATAATTGCTTGGTTGGAGAGATACTGGAGAATATTAGCGGAATGACAACACTGGAATGTTTGGATCTCTCGAAAAATGATCTTTCTGGCAAAATTCCACAAAGCATGTCCAATTTGACATCTCTTAATTGTTTAAACTTGTCATACAATTACTTGTTGGAAGTACACCTTCAAGCACCCAACTTCAGAGCCTTAGCAAAGACAGCTTCATTGGGAATGCTAAACTTTGTGGTGCGCCTCTTAGGATAAATGCACCAAAGACGAGGAATCTCATGATTCAACACCTGTTCACAAAAATGGAGATGAGTCTTAGATGTTTTGGTTCTATATGTTGTAAAATTTCAATTCAAGAATGCTAAAAAATCATATGATAAACAAGACAATAAAACTTATCGATAGAGGCGTGTAGTCACTGTCCTTAAGAATAGATTTTCGCTCTTCTGAGTATGAAACCCGATGCAACAGCTTATGGCGTTCTATCCTCCAAGATTCAACTATCGTTTCTCCACAAGCGTGCACTCGCAAATGTAGAGGTGTCTCGAATAACTCTTGATTATTCCCAAATGAATACCAAAAACTCAAATAATAATATATTTGAACAATTCAATGAAACCCACTGTGTATGAAAATCAAATACACACGAAAATCCACCGGACCGTAGGCTTTTGTTTTTTTTCTTCGCTTTGCTTTATGTTTAAGACAGTAGGCTTTCTATTTTTTTTTCCTTCCTGGCTTTTCCTTTCTGCACTTTGTACACAAAGCCGTCAAAGGCTTTAAATATTAATTGAAGAGTCATATGGCACAGGATGCAATGGTTGGTCCAACGGTCAATTATAATTTCAACGATTATTGACCAACGGTCAAAAATTTTGAAAATTCATTTATCATGTATAATTAATTGATTCAATATCAATAATAAAACAAATGGTCATAACGTGTACTATTCAGATCATCCAATAGGTCTAAAAATAATTTTTAAATATATATATTTATTTATTTATTTATTTAATATTATTATTATTTTTTTAACTTATATTTCTATACACATATATTATAAATAAATAAATATATATTATATTTTGAAATATATATTAAATACACAACAATCCCCACATATTTCAAAATATAACGTATATATAAAATAACAACTTTGATTTGGGAACACGAGCATCTAATGCATTGTGGTGGTGTCTTTTGAACTATGAACCATCACTTAGGGAATACAAGGCAGAACTTACAGAAATCTAGTGAAATATAAATTTTCTATGAACTAGATTTTTTTTGTGTAAACTGACTACACTCATCACCCACATTAGACCCTGTAATCTGAGTTTGTTCATTGCGGGTTGGTGCGAATAGGTCATGCACCCTACCTGGATATTCATAGATGCTCTAGAAAACCTGCCCAAGTTATCATAGGAAGCAACCCCACTCCCACATCTATATAGGTGAATCCATCAAGTGTATACTACAACTAGATACACTACCTAATCTAGGCTATGGATCCATTAAGAGATAAACTCAACCTTATATATTACAGTATATTTACTATCTACACCATAAGGATGGACTTTAAATATTAATTAAATTATGATAGTCTTACAAATCACCCAATGACTTGTTATTACCCTTATAAACTTACTTCCTAGGATCTCCATTCATGTAAGTTGGGTTACCATCATTTGAGATTTCTATATAGGCATAAGTCTCATCCCCCTCGATGTCTCATTCACTAGTTTTCTTCCTAGTGGTTTTGTCAGAGGATCGGCCAAATTCATCTCTGACCTCACAAAGTCTAGGGATATTATCCCATCATTAAGCAGCTACCTCACAATATTATGCTTTAAGCTAATATGCCTATTTTTACCATTATAGGTTTTATTTTTTGCCCTTGCTATTGCAGCTTGGCAATCACAATGTATAGACACAGATGGAACTGGCCTTATCCATAAAGGGATATCCGCTAAGAGGTTTCTTAACCACTCAGCCTCAGTGCTAGCCTTCTCTAAAGTAATAAACTCGGACTCCATAGTAGACCGAGTTGTACACGTCTGCTTGGAAGATTTCCAAGACACTACGCCCCCGCCAAGGGTGAACACATAACCACTTGTGGATTTCGTCTCGTCTGAATCAGAGATCCAGTTAGCTTCACTATACCCTTCTAGTACAGTAAGAAATCCACTATATGATAAACCATAACTAGAAGTCCCTTTCATGTATTTCAACAATCTAGATATATCATTTCAATGTTCTTTATTAGGGTTATGTGTATATCTACTTAACCTACCAATATCATATGCAATATCAGGACGTGTATAATTCATAAGATACATTAAACTTCCAATTATTTGTGCATAATCTTTTGACACATAAGATCACCTTTATTTTTCTTTTGTTTAACGCTAGAATCATAAGGTGTAGAAATAGGCTTATGATCAAAATGATTAAACTTTCTAAGTATCTTATCTACATGGTGTTCTTGAGACAACATCAAACTATTTGGGGTTCTCAAAATTTTAATTCCTAAGATTACATCTGCCTCCCCCATATCTTTCATGTCAAACTTAGACATTAAAAACTTTTTAGTATTGGTAACAATCTCTAGACTTGTACCCATTATAAGCATATCATCAACATATAAACAAATAATAACACCAGAATTATCACAAAACTTACAATAAACACATATGTCAGCATCATTAATTTTGAAACCATTTGACACTAACACATTATCAAATTTCTTATGCCATTGTTTCGGTGTTTGTTTTAAACCATATAATGATTTAATCAATTTACATACCATATGTTTTTTACTTGGTACAATAGATCCTTCCGGTTGTTCCATATATATTTCCTCCTCCAAGTCTCCATTCAAGAATGTCGTTTTCACATCCATTTGATAAATTACTAGTTTATAAATAGAAGCTATAGCAATCAAAACCATAATAGATGTTATTCTTGTAACCGATGAACAAGTATCAAAATAATCAACATCTTTCTTTTATTTATAACCTTTGGCTACTAGTCGAGCTTTGTGCTTATCAACGGTGCCATCAATTTTTAATTTTCTTTTAAAAATCCATTTGCACCCAATAGGTTTTGCACCAGGAGGTAACTCTACTAATTCCCAAGTATGATTAGACATAATGGAATCTAACTCATCTTTAATTGATTCTTTCCAAAAAGAGCATATTGTGACCTAATAGCTTCCTCGTATGTTTGTCGGTCATTATCAATTAAAAATGTAAAAATTCCATCTCCTAAGTTAATCTTCTTCCTTACTCTTTTACTCCTTCTTGGTTCAAGTACTTCTTCCCTAGAGGTATCATATTTGGGTTCATCACTAACATGAATTAATTTACTCTCATTTGATACCTTATTTTTCATAGGAAAAATATTCTCAAAGAATATAGCATTTTTTGCCTCAATGATTGTGTTAGGTTCTAATATGTTACGCTCACTTTTATCACTAGAAACCTATATGAAGTACTATTAATTGAATAACCTATAAAAACACAATCTGAAGGTTTAGAACCTAATTTTCTCTTCTTAGGTTCCGGTAACATAACTTTTGCTAAACACCCCCACACTTTTAAATATTTTAAGGATAGTGGATGCCCTACCCAAAGTTCATATAGAGTTTTTCCTATTTTCTTATGTGGAATTCTATTTTGAATATGACATGCTGATAGAATAGCTTCTCCCCATAAATTATTCGGCAGTCCCGAACTTATTAACAAAGAATTCATCATTTCTTTTAAAGTTCTATTTTTTCTTTCGGCTACACCATTAGATTCAGATGAGTAGGGAGGAGTAACTTCATGTATAATACCATGCTGCT